ACTTGATGAGATGACTGGAGTCTGGTGTGCTATTGCTTGGTTGGAAAGAAAACCTGCAGCCACACAGCCCTTTCTGGAACCAGTTTGACACCCCTGTTGTAAGGACAGTTGAGAGGAAAAACTCCCTTTAAACAGGAAGAAACCTCCAGCAGAACCAGACTCAGTGTGAGCAGCCATCTGTCAAGGACAACTGGGGTTCAAGGAGACAGAAGCAGAGATACAAATGTCAACTGTAAAAGGCGGCCCCGTCAGTCAGAGAAACAGGACTACACTGGGAAAAAAAAGGCCGATCTCCAAAATCTATAAACAAAGGTGTTGATGGCAGCAGCACAGCTGATATTTCTCTCCAGGATGGCGCCACAGCCAAACAGGTGCAGATGAGGCGATGCTACTGTTTGAAAAAGCAGAGAGAGCAGAACATTAGAGATTGAACTAAGATTCTGCAGTGTGGGAGAATAGAGATAAGCTGAAGTAAAATTATGAAATAGGGGTTCCAACCGTCCAACCGCATTTCCGAATTCTCCCGAGTGGTGCCCGACTTTACACGAGTGAATAAAGTGAAAGTGATTGGTCCTTTATCAAGGGGGCGGGGTTGTTGTGGCAATTCGCAAGCAAGTTTGGTTGTGCCCGGTTTCTCTGAAGCATCTTGCTAACCAGTTAGCAACTTAGTGCTAGTAGGTTCCCAATGGGAAATTGCATTGGGACCAAGTAGCACTAAATTGGTGACTTAAAAACGACACTGTCAAGGAACGCTATGGACAGAGGAAACATGCAAGAGGAGGACAGTTTTGTGTCAGAGGTCGTGGATGAGTCTCCTCCGTAATACATTTTTCATTTAGAGGAGAAAAGCGGGGACAAAGATGTTGTGGAAGAGGACGCCAGGGCGGCAGAAGCTTGGTTTGGTGTAGAAGGCTTACAGCCGTACATGTTTGAGCCCTTGCCTCACAACGCTGCCAGTTCTGTTAGCTCTACGCCTGCTGAAGACACAGACGTCCATCCCCGTGAACACTGGGATGGAACTCAATGGGAAAGGAAATTATTTTTATTTCAACCGTTGTGTATATTAGCTGCGACATAAGAATCAAGATGCTATGAAAAATATTTGATTGGCGGATGACTGTTGATATATAATTGGCTGAATTTAGGTGTTCAGGCTGACATACAACTAACTGGCCTGCATAAAATAACAAAAAAACCCACAGATTTTAAGACAGGATTTTTTTTTATAGAAATTTTCTACATTTTGGGACAATAT